TATATATATATATATATATATATATATATATATATATATATATTACACACACACACATACACCTTTAAGGTGTGACCCAAAAATGCTCTATGGCAAATCATAACAAAGCATCATCATAAACACAAGCATCACAAAAGTAAGAGTGACATTTCTGACATTTAGGCTGCAGGGTCATATTTACTACTAATCTACTGACAAACAGGCTTAGTGAGAATACATAAAGTTATTGAACTGGTAAAACAAGACCACAAGCATGACAGAGAACTTTGATTAAAAAAAACAAAACAAGAGACTTTAATTCATGATTATCGGTGCAAGTGGTAATGTGTCGCAGAGTGGCATAAATTTAAAAAGGGGTTGGGTTTAAGTGAATACATTATTAAGTAGACTGGTTAGGCTAATCACCTCCTCTTATTTCCTTTTAAAAAACGAGTGCACACAGAGTGACATTTTCGTAATGACTTAAAGACAAAAAGATTGTACTTATAAGATTCATGCTATATTGTGCAGTCTACTTTTACAATTCAACCATATATGAACTATATGCAATAGTTTGATTCTAACACACAATAAGCACCAAATTATCATTTGTTTATTAACAGCATCAAGTGCTCATTGGTCATACATAATACTAATTATGTCAGATCAAATAACAAGCAAACACTTCTTGTTTATTGGGTTGAAAACTGTTGAAATCTCTGACAAGTCTGTTTTTTTTTTTTAACAAATTGCTGTATATCATTGACAGAATTAACATATCCAAGACCTTTATATATTTAATTTGCTTCACACAAGAGAAAAACAATCACAATTTTATATTTGTATGTATGTATGTATGCACACGTACAGTTATTAGACCTTGTGATCTTTTAATAATGTTGAGATAATCTTTTGAGATTAAGAGAAGTCATGCGTATGAAACAGAGCGAAAGAGATGACCTGACCTCATGTTAAAAGCAAAACTGACCAATAATGATACTGCACTGATAGTGCTAACAAGTACAGTAAAGTTATTTTCGATGAACGTGTGCATTTTTACAGTGTGCCTCAGAGCTGGTGTGGATTTAAACACTAAGATCATGTGTGACTAAAAGATAAAGTTTTCAGTGTTAATTAGCCACAACTGAGTTGTGCGTTCATATATTTTAGAGACAAACTAATTAAGTTTGTTGTATTTATACTGAAGCCGGGCGATACAAATAGTGAACGCTCACAAAACAGGGTTGTGAATTAAAGTCAGGAAAAGATCATCTTATCTTTGAGTCTGTGAGAGTTTGTAGTGCATGGTGCAATTTTTAAAGCAGAATGACTTAGAAAAAAATAGCACCATGGTGCCATGAGCCAGTAAATTACACTTGTCCAGGTATGAAAATAGTACCTAGCGTGACAGAAAGAGAGAGAGAGAGAGAGAGAGAGAGAGAGGGAGGGAGGAAGGTAGGCAGGGAGGAAGAGGAGGGGATATAATCATAGCAGTAGAAAGGAAATCATAGAAATCATAGAAGAAATCATAGAAAGGATAACTCTTCGGGGGGGGGGGAACTTGCCTTTTTTTTTTTTTTTTTTTTTTAAAGCAGATACAGAATCAGAAATCTGAGTCCTGGCAGTTTATGCCTTCAAAGCATGGTTGCTACATGCCACAGCTCTTAAAATAAAAATAGAGCTTATCTAAGCTCATCAAGAAACAATTATAAACACTTGCTACTTGAATGAGAGTGAGAAAGGAAGTTGATGAACAAACACTTGTTATCATGCCTTTCTTGTTATTTCATTGCACGCCTCAGGTGGCTCTATGCCAGTGGTGCATCGGTACTTAGTGTGTAGGTACTCAGGTGGTTACTTACTTAACGCGTGCACAGCATGAGTTCACATTCTCATCTGCATACCTTAAAAATAATTCCAGATGTATATAAAGGATTAATCAGAGATAGGACAAAACAACATTCACTAGATGGAGAGCTGAAACATCCCTCTCTATCAGGTTTCCTTATTGGCCAGTAAAATGTTTAGCGATTTCTTGCCATTAATGTCTCTTGTGCATTAGCATGGTGATGTTAAACACATGGAAAAGCTCTGTTAATTTCTCTTTCCACCGTTGTCGTGATTGTTGTCATGAACTTACATTGAAAAGTAGTGACTATTCTAGTAGATTCATAGCAATGGTATGCAAATCAGACTTTCATTAGGTCATGAGAGCCTTTTTAAGTTCAAGTATTAATGTCTAGAATAGTACAAAAGTGTTCGATTTGAGGCACAGTTCTAGTTTGTTTAGCCAGTTGTGGACATCATGTTACATCGCTCCTGTTACTTACATTGGTGCAAATATCACGTTAATTTTTTTTGGATGTGCAGAACTGACTCAACAAATGAACACAAGATATATGCGGCAGCCATCTTTATTATGTGTAGTTTAGCTACTGATCAGCAAAATATTTGCATCTTATTATGAGTCGTTAATTTCTGGGGTCCCTGGAGGACTAGTGGTTAGGCCACAGCGCTCTCACCGCCGTGGCCAGGGCCCGGGTTCCATTCCTGGCCAGGGAACCAACCCCAGCCACTGGGGTTGCACACGACAGTGCACTCCCAGTGCCGGTCCCAAGCCTGGTTGCATCAGGAAGGGCATCCGGCATAAAAACTGTGTCAAATCAAATATGCGGACCAATGATCCGCCGTGGCGACCCCTAATGGGAGCAGCCAAAAGAAGAACATTATCATGAGTCATTAATTTCTGACAGTTGAATACCTTGTTATATTCAGGCTATACTCTGACACCGACACCAGGACACATAAAACATACCTTACACTTTACCCACACTTTAATGTCAATGTTTTTGGATACTAGTGTGGGAGATGACCTGACTTTCTCTATTCAGACTCTCTGTTCAGCATAATTCATACAAATTAACACATATCAAGTGATCTTTGCTAAAATATTAACTGTATACATCTGCAACGATTAACGTTTATTCAATCTATGACTAAAAATCCACATAACTTCGCAAAATAAACTTTCTGAATGTTGATAATTTGTTGAACTCTGGTCTCCAAGTGTAAATATGGAACTCCGTTCTAAATTTTGCGACTTAATAACCGCAACCATGTTCATTAATGTGTTCTTCATATCTGTCACTGTGGGCTTTATTCAATGATGATATGCATATTGGTTAATGCAAGCATTGATTATTTGGCTTATTTTGTTTATTATTTAAAAAAGGTCAATTAATGCAAATTTAGGTCACGTTAAGTAATGTATTGTATAATGTCAGTTAACGTGCAGCAGTACCTCAAGAGAGGAAGCTAACACAAATCACTTCCTTAACTGTCACTCCATTCTCCTTTCATTTTACAAAAATACATCAGATGTAATCTGCTGCTTTTGGTTTACTTCCACAAACAGTACTGGGTATTGTAGGGAGGACTCCCTACAATACAAATGGAAGCTTTTTTTAAATCAAAATTAAGGAACTAACATATTTGGTGACCTCTGACCCCTTTCGTCTACCAGAACGACTCTCTCTGGGACGGTCTGTGTGTCAGGGTCTATCCTTTATACAAAAGTACATTACAACCAGATTTCTGGTTCACATCAATATCATACTACTGGGTGGACTTGCAAATGTTTGGGACGAAACACTAAACCCACACCATAACAACACAACAATGAAAATAAAGGGACACAATCACAGGAAAGCTATGCGAGGTGGGTACAGCTATACAGAGTGCTTAATTTGGAGTGCCAGTGCAAACTGAAGACAGGTTTTGTAGGGAACATTAGAGAGCCACCCAGATATCTCCATTAGAGGCACTCATTCATTCAAATACAATGTGAGCTGGATAGATAATACAGGGCAGGTAAAAGCTGACATCATACTAATATTAGAAAAATGTTTTATCATAACTTGTACAGAAACTAGAATGTAAGAGAATGAAAGAAAGAGAATAGAGCAGGTGAGGTATTCAGAGCAATACTGAATTGGTAAATGAATTACAAGAATCAATAAGGACAACTATCCAGGCGGTTTAATTAGAAGAATACATCAAAAGAATTGTTCAGAAGAATCAATCACAAGAATGAACCAAAAGTTACTCATAATAAATATGAGTAACTTTTGGTTATAAGAATAATCAGAAAATATGAATTGAAAGAATCATTCAAACCATGAAAATAATGAGAACAATAAAACATATAAATCAGTCAGGAAAAAGTAATTGGAAGAATTGATTATAAGATTAAGCCAAGAGAATAAAACTAATGTGTCCAGAGATTAAACCAGGAAAATAAACCAGTATAGCTTGGCAGAAAAGAATGAATCAGGAGAAATAATTTAAAAAATGAATCAGAAAATGAATCATGAGTTACTCAAAAGAATGAATCAATCTGAGAAATTAATCCGAAAAATTGATCACAGGAATAAATGAAGAGAACAAACCCACAGTTAGAGAAATGGAATAATCCGAAATGTTTAACAACGAATCAGAATCAAAAGAATCACTTGGGGAAATTAAGCAGTAGAATAAACCAGCAGAGTTAAAAGAATCAAATGAATGAGTCAGAAAATTGAACCAGTTAACTGGAAGAATCAGAGGGATAAATCAGAGGAAAAAACAAGAAGAATAAACCAGGAATCTCCAGCATGTGTGTATGTCTTTAAACCTCTCCTGCTCCCTGTCCTGCCGAGTGAACCCAACCCACATCCCCCTAAGCACGGTCTTATGACTCAGACAGCTAAATCTATGCTCACACACTGGCCACAAATGCCTCAGTATCTCTGTAAACAACACACTCTCCTATCAATCCTCTAAAACAAATCTTGCAGGAGAGAAAACAGCTTTTGTCCAGCTTTGCTTTCTGGCTGTGGCATGTCAGTCAGTGAGAGCGTTCTGGACTGGCACAGCTGCACGCTGAATCCTGCATACAGATCCCTGAAACCATAGCACGAGGGGTGAAAATAGAAGCTGATAAGTAGAGCCGGTTAAAAGCAGCTCCTCTTTAGCCTTGATGTCTTAATGACTATAATGTCTGGCCAAATAAAGTGCAATGAATATGTGGGAAGGTTCTTAAGCAAGTGATGTGACGCAATGTGCGATTTACTGCCTGTCACTTTGCAAAAAATTCCACATTGTACACTCGATTCAAACATCATAATAGAAACCAATGAAAATTGGACAAACTGGTTCAAGTATGGCAGCCCCAACCCAGATCTCATTGCTGATGCTTACATGCCTGGTGGATTCAGATACAGACACACCCAGCTTACATTGGCTCCTGCTATGCACTATGCAAATATTACAGATGTGAAACTCATCGGGATCACAGGGTGCTCATCCCATCACAGGTACTAACAGGTCCTTTCTTTTTCCTTTTTTTGCAGAATTTTTACAGGATACTCTACTCTTGCTGCAACGACAATGGAAGCAAGAGTAAATCCATTTGTCTGTCCCATTTTCATTTTTTTTTTTTTTCCTTCAAAGGAAGTGATGACTAATGCATGGCCACAGCACCATGCAACCAAGAATACATGATCTATGGAAAGTAAACAGTACAAAAACAAACAGCTGCATATAACTTGTAGTTAGAGCTCTAGAGATTTATTTTTCAAAATCTCATGTGATCATATTGTAGACCTCATAATATATCAACAACTGATTGTAATTTTTATTTTCTGCCTTTGAACACCAGCAGCCAGTGTGGCTTAAAGTGGTTTATGTATGTATGGCGGACTGGGAAAACCCATCAGATGTCACTCTAGATGAATTCTAAAGGCAAAAAAAACAGGTTTTGATTAAAATTGAGTTTTTCTGTCTATAATGTACATAAAGTAATATAATAACCTTGCTTACTTTCTGCCTGCAGACATCATGTCTGCCTAATGATGGCTAAAACCTTGCTAGGTAAGTGTGATTTATTCACACAGTGAATGTCAGGCTTTGATGAAGTTGTTGGATAGCTACATGTCATAGCAAAAGTGACATGTGTCTAATCAATTCTGTTTGTAATCAGATACTGCAACAATTAAATGCAATTTTTCACTTTTGAAGGACTTTACAAAGCCACAATTTTACTTGTGGGTAAGAAATATATTTCAGTTATGAATAGCCTGTGTGTGTGTGTGTGTAATCACCATAAACACACTTTAACCTAAATTCTATTTTTACTGCACCTCAGGGGCTGCACAGGTTCGTACTTGCAAGTAGCTTGTAATTCCTCATGCCTGCAGAGGCTTTTGGCCAAGCATGTAATCTTGCTTATGTACACGCACGCCTGTGTGTTTGCACATAGAGACGCGTCACCAACATCTACCTGTTGTGTCATCTCACAATTCCCCCACCAGCTAATATGGCTGATTAGCGACTTGAAGAACGTTAATTCGTCCAGAGTTTACTTGCTTTGCAGCTTGCTGAACAGTTCAACAGAGATGCTCTTTAAAGCATTAAGTATACCAAACCAGCTGCATGCCATTAGTGCTGGAGCTAAAATTCCAGTTTGACCAGAGTTATGCTAGAGCTACAGGTTCCAGATCATCTTCAAATACAAGAGCGATGCATGTTTTAGGCTACATTTCTCATAATGTGAAGTTAGGTTATTGCTTAGGTTATTGCAATAAGTGGATAATACCAATAACTGAAACAAGCAGCAATCCAAGGCCTGCTCGAAAAATTCTGTAATGTTTAAGGGCTGGTTTTACAGGAAACCGCCCTGCAACAGATACGTAATTTTAACCAGTAACATTTGTAGTCTATCAATCAATAACTCACATTATACAAAGTTACATTATAAGTTTTTTGAATGAAAATCAGTTTTCAACTGTCTCTTTTTCCCCTACTCAAACAATTCATGAAAAACAAGCACTGGCAAACTATGGCAAAAGTCATAAATTGCAGTCATCACATTTTCCATGAACTGCAGTCCATGTTGGCACCTTTTCAGGCACAGAAAGCTCAGGTTCAAAAGCAGGAAACCACAGAGCGTAGGGTGCTGTGAGTACGTACCATCTGGCTCCTATGTTTAGAAAGATGTCCTTTCTGTGTGTCCTTACAAACTCCAAGGAATCAAGAAATCCTGTAGAGCGTGACAGTTCAAAGTATATACCTCACATACACACACACACTTACTCACACACACACAAACACACACAAACACAGGAACACACCCCACCAGAAAAATGTCCAAAACTCCTCCTACGAAAGCCCTCCTATGAAAGCCCTCCGTCTTCAGCGATGACACTGAGCTAGAACGCTCTCTCATTGGCTAAGAGGTGGGCATGACGGCCCTCTCTGACAGGAAGCCAAGAAAAATAAGCAGATTGTTTCAATATGCTAGTATTGGATGAAGAGCACAGGTTTTAGATTAGCTTTTCGAGCAGGAGTGATAAGGAGGGGACATATGGGATTATGAATGAAGATGAAGAGTTTTATTAGACAAAGCCACAGGAGTTGTCTGAGATCTGCTCAGTTGGGTGTGACTCCTACAGTCACAGCTCTGGAATCTGAGCTAGGATCACAAAAGTAGCAGCAAGGCCCTGCCTCACAACCTCACAACTCCA